AGTCCACCTAGACAGGCAGATGAATCACATTTCAACCCATTTTGTCTGAGAAGAGATGTAACACAGTCAACCACCTAAACCATTTCTGCCTTCTTTAAAAAAAAAAAAAAAAAGAGAACTTTTTGGATAATATGAAAATTTGGTGACTGAAAAAAAATATCAGGGGACAGACTTTAGAATGAGAAAAGAATCCTACCCACACAGTCAGACTAGTTCCTCTAGTCTGGAAAACCAGGTCCAAGGACTCAATTTAGCACTTTTGCTACAAGTACTAACTCACAGCCAAATACGGTAATTTGGTTTATTGCGTTATTAAAGATCAACAATCCCATTAACTCCTTCCATAATCCATTCACTTGCCCTGGAAAGGACATCATTTTTCTACCAACATGGACATGCTGCCAAGCCTACTGAAGCTGATAGATGTTGAGGTTTATACATGCTCTCTCCCATTTGTCTTTCAAATCCAGTAAAGCATTCTACCACATTTCCAGGCATGCTTCAAAGCCTTACTTTCTGCCCTGCACTCTCTTATTTGGCCTTCCAGTCCCTTGGTACTAACATGTGCCAACCAAGGAAAAAATAAATCTTGAAATCAGGGATCCAATCCGGGAACAATCTACCTGGTCTTTCACCAGACTGACTGGCCTCAAGAAAGCAGATTCATGGTCCTGAAGGAAATGCCTGAAGGGCTTCTCCAAAACTAGCATAAACACACAGCATGAAGTACATGGGTATTTTTGGTCAGCCCCCACACCATTAGAAGATTTATGCATTATGTCCGAAAAACAACGTAATACAATTTTAGCAGAGTTTTCTACCTAGTGTGGATGAAGTAAGTGGCGTTAAAAAACATATTAGCCTCAGGGTCAAGACACTGGGAAGAGCAGAGTACTTAAGACTAACCAGAGCCTGAAGCACTATACTGACACAGTGATTGGTCTTTTAGTAAGGAGACAGAGTGTGTGTGTGTGTGGGGGGGGGGGGTCATCGGCAGGAATAAGACCCGGTTTACAATTCAAGCAACTAACCCAAAGGTTAGTTAAACAGCTTTGGACTCCAAACAAGGTAACAGGCAAACTTAAGATACTGCGTCTTCTACTCTATCTTTGGCAAGGTTACAATACGAAACACGGCCAGACAGCTTTCATTCTGTACTAATGCTCATTCAAGAACTGATTTGCTCTCATATAAATACCAGCCACGTTCTCTTGAGCAAAAGTGCAATTAAAATGTCACCCTCGTGACACTGCTTACAAAAGCAAACCAGAACAGGTGAGAACATGACAAAACATTATAATGTGTTACTCCAAAATCCCCAGAAACCAAACCCACTGTTATGACTTTTTTTATTTAAACTAAGTATAAAGCTGGGCAGTATGTTCCAACCACATTGTAAATTGTATTCCAGGTTATTTGGGAAAGAAAAACCGTGTGGCAGCAGCTTTGTCCCAACTGATCTTAACATCTTCTATTTGACTAATGCAGTAAAGTACCTTGACTCAGAGTCTTAGTGGTATCTTTACATACCTCAAGCCCCTTCAGAGTGCAGATTCCTACAAAGTTGATGCAAAATAAAAATGTTTTAAGAAAGGACACAGGTGCACTCATTTCAGAAATGAAATTAGGTTACCTTTGGAAAGTAACCACTGTATGTCTGTACCAGCCCGGAAAATGAACAAGTCTCAAAAACTGAAAGGGTATCCAATATTTTAAGAGAGAGACCATAAAAGGGCTACAATATTTGATAATCTCTTTCGCTCATAGTTGGACATCTCCAGGAAAAAGCTGCATACACAAATTTGTGGACACCATTATCTTGAGTATAAGTTGAGAAGCCACATTTATACAGGTTTTGACAAAAAAATACATGGGTTATCTTTACTGGATGATTTGGAAAGAAACTTAAAAATATGCAGTTAGATTTGAATGTACAAAGACTATAACATTCATGCCCATACATATATGAGGTCTCTAACAGCAAAAGAACAGATTAAACCACCAAAATTAAGCTCTGCCTGAAAACTTGGAATGTTTAAATTAGGTTCTTATTAAAATTAATCAAACTCTGCCTATTCATCATGCTCAGAGGCAGTACAAGACAGCAGGAAAGTAATCAAGGTCCTGGTTTGAATCCCAGCCCACAAACTTTTGAATACAACATTCCTATTAAAAAGAGAATGTACCATTGGCTCTGTGGTTTGAACAGATTATTTCTTAGTACTTGGCAATAGTTTTTAGCATAATCCCCAAAAGACTTCTTTATCTGTTCCTCATTTTCTGATACTTTGAGATACTGGCAGTCCACGTTTTGAGGTATAGCAGCAATCACATATGAAAGTTTTATGGCAAAAACTTCTGAGAGACTTATAAACTGTGAAAACCTTACAAAGGAGTTCTGTGAATGAAAGCAGCATTACCCATTTAAAATACCTAAACAAGACTTTTCAAGGTACAAAGTCTGTGAAAGATAGCACCATTTGAAATAAATATGAAGTTCTAAACCTCTATGTAGCTTCAAGACAAAAGCCTATAGACCTAGCTATAAGGGAACAAACAGAATGGCACTTCTTCCTTGAGGTGGTTGCCATCTGAGAAATTACAAATCATATTGGGCAGCTATATTATTTTGAGAAAGCTGAATATATACTGATAGAATAAAGTAAATATTAAAACCATTGTCAGAAATACCTGCCACTAGTTTGGTTTCATATAAATGATGCTCATGCAATCACAATGTTGCTTATATTTCCTAGCTATGGACCCATGTACATCAAGTTAGCAAGATGACAGCTCTCTCACTGATTGTTTTTAAAACAGGGGTGTTGAAAAACAAATTTCTACGCTAAGTAGGGTTTGAGTTGAGGGAAGAGAGACTGGAGAACAGTTGGCAGCCCTTGGCTGGTTCAGGGATAGATAGATAGATAGATAGATAGATAGATAGATAGCCAGCCTCTTGTTTGTAGAACTGGATAAGTATTAAGACATACTAGAGGTAATTTTATTTTGGCAGCGCATAGTAACTCAGCAAGGAGAAGCAACGTCACCAAACAGTTCACAGATTTCATCTTTAGGTTATCTATTAAAATAGAGAAAAGCAGCATCTCACCCGGGGTCTCAGTCTAGCTCTTTGGCACAAGTTCCCCCACTACTAAATTTAATATGAATGGCAATGAGTTGACCTCTCATTCCTAGGACATGTTCACTCTGCAACTAGGAGTTGTAATTATAACATGTATAGACAAGGCATTCCCAAGCTACTGATATCAGTGAAGTCATTGAAGGATAGGTTGTACAAGTCTGCTTGAAATGCTGGGTGAATTCCATGCCACCACATCTTCACTGGTGCTAGCGCTGAAGTTAGCATAAGCCATCTCAGGTGAGTTTACACAGGCTGTAAGTACAGCTCCAACTATACAACCTTCCCCACACCAGTCTCCAAAGGTCTGCCTACAATGCAGACACTCAATATATTGTGCCATACCTGCTAATAGATAGAAAGAAGACTTCAATCTCCAGCAGACTTTATTTTTTTAAATACAACAGTTAAATAAGCAAAGCTTAGAGAACTCCTCTTGGAACAGCTGAGTGACTAGGACCCCCAATCTCATTCCAAAGACCTACATAATGGCAGAGTTTTATTCAATTCTGTGTGCTTGTGTTTTTAAGTAGAACATAAACTCTTACGGCATAAAAATATAATGTTTGATAACAAGAACTATACTTTTCTCAAATACAGATGGAAGAACATATGCAAAGGAAACTCCGAGGAATGCGTTATTGGACATCTGCTGTTCTTGGAATGGAAACCCAAAATCTTCTTCACTCCAATGAGAGCTTATTGTGTTATTTGTTTTTGTACAGTGCCACCTGCTGACAGCATGGACATTGCTCTTATAAACTGAACTGTGCTAGGAGACATTTGCAGTGCTGCTCCCCCTAAAAAGATTTAAAAAAAAAATCACTGCATTATAACTCAAAATCAGCAGAATTCCCACAGGAATCACAGTTGGAAGCACAGTGCAGCACACTGGAAGTTTAGCCCGAAGCTCTCTTTGCTCAGCTCTTAGAATCCTCAATTTGACTGCAGTTTATACCCGTTTTTACTAAGCTATCTTGTATCTAAAGTAACAAAGCTGAAGATACTGTACAAAATTCGTTTAGTTTCACAGTCATTAATACAGTTTCAGTCAAATCATCCCAAATGTCTGAGGAGTATGTATTAGGTGGTGACCTCTGGTTTATCTCTACTGCCAATGAGGTTATTGTATTGAAGTGACATACACACTGTAGAGATCTAATAAAATCTGTACGTTTTTCCACTCACTTTTCCAAGTGGAGGATACTCCAGAATGCAAGGATGTCTGGGTTACCCAGTGTAGAGTTAAAATAAACGTATACAGTATTTTATAACAGAACCAGAAACTGCTACACAACTTCTAATTTAATTCATTTGGGGTTTTATGAAAATGAGTTTTATTAAATTTGGAATATTTAAAAAAGAACAGTCTGGCAGGTCACTCAGGCACTCATTCCACATACAGGAAGACATGAATATATAATATAAAATACACAGGTTAAGAAACTCAGCTTTGAAGGATTCATATACAACAGCCTGGATGAACTAAAAGACTTCAGTGATAATGAAGTTGGTGAGATGTCACATTCCACAGACCTCCTGATACGCTTTCGTTCTTAGCCCAATAAAATACATAGGAAAAAGGGGCTTGCATTTCTGCTGGCTTTAATTTCAAACATGACGTTTGTTGTCAAAGGGGAGATGTAGTATTTTTGCTATTATTTCTACAGCATAGCAAAGGCAGCTCATCAAGACTACCTGATCTGAGGCAAATGGAAAAAGATATATTCCCTAGAATCAACATCATCATTTTTTTTAAATAATCTAACAGATAAATGAAAGCAAAAGGTAATAAAGAATGACAAGGCCACAATAGCCTACTGGCAACATTGTTCAGAGAGCATGATGAAAAGTGATATACCTCAGCAACAAAGAGGGGAAACTCTTCTGGCAGAATCCAGGAACGGGGATAGAAGTTGTACTCTTCAGGAAACAGATCCTGCATTGTTCGCACTGCCCGGCTCAGGGTAATTTTACGCACCATTTCTGTCATACCTGGGGAAAATAAAATATGGTGCTTGGAAGCACTGAAAACTATTCACTTAGGCCTTGCTCTGCATAGTAAAGCAAGCTGGTATGCTGTTACTTACCATACATTTAAGCCTGGGGATTGTTTTCAATGTAAGCTGCACATTTTTAGTTAGTCGTGGTAATGGAAGATTTTCCTTGGTCAAGTTTTCCTTGGGGATTTATTTGCATTGCACTCACCGCTGTATGTTTGGGAAAGCTGTAAGCTAGCTGTCCAAACTGCCACAGAAAATAAAGGAAGGAATATTCTTGTGCAAACAATGATTAACATACTGCTTCAGCCAGGAATTTTTACCTTATTTTGCTGACATGCCAGAAACAGGAGACAACACTTGATCCAGACACTGGGATTATCTCTAATTATTTACCATCACTGCAACAATTATGTTAGAGATAAAAATGTTTCCTTTTATATAAGCAGCTTTGAAGTCTATTTTGTCCAATTGCCTCATCCTTCCAATTGACTTAGACTCCCATGGAAGAAAATAATTGGAAGTTACAAATGACAAGAAAATTGCACAAAGTGCTGAAAAGATCACAGGACTGGGCCCTGTTAACATTCGTGGGAGTTACAATGCATTATGGAAGGACTTCCGTATCTCTAACCTCGCTGATCGGTTCATTCTTCTTGCTTACCACATGAACACAGGCTACAGCTCAAGTAGACACTGCACATGGCAAGAGATTTAAACAACCAGAAAACTATAGCACTTTACAAGCTGTAGGCGCATTGTCCACAAGCAGGAAAAAGTCAGTGTCAGTGGAGCATAAAGTTCTTTATCTGGAGTTTCTCAGCATACTAACCGCTGCAATAAATCTGAAGTGAAGGGCTTAGATAAGTCAATACCCTAAGCTCTTAGCTCTTATTTAGTGGGATCTACACTGGGATTAAATGAGAAATAAGGGGGCTTAAAAAAGTAGAATAGTCATAATAAAATGAGAGCCGACATGAACTCTTCAATATTAAAAAATCCATCTAAGGAACTGTGCTCTGAGCTCTTCCCAGAAACAGACCAGAGTTCAATATAAAATTGACTGTTTTCACCATAAAAAAGCAAAACAAAAGCCAAAGAACCCACAGAGGCAACATTTGTATTGATGTTACCGAATGCACAAGCATTGTTTCTCTATCTCATTTTCATCATAATCTAATGTTCGCGTTTTTTTAATTAATGTATGTATACATCAACTACTCCACTCTTCAAGCAACTTAGTGTCTGCTTAAAACCTTGATCCATTCTGGCATTCATTCCACATATTAGGAAGAGATTTAGTTATTATTGATTTATAAGGTATGATCCACAATTTAAGAACCTTTTCCAATATATGGCTTGCCAAACATCAAGAATCTAGTACAATGGGGCAAATCCTAGTTCTGGTGATAGCAATGAGTCATGCCATTCCCTTCTTTGGGACAGGATTTGATCTGATGCTTCTTCTTTTTTTTTTTT